CTTTTAAACCCTCGGTTATTGATCCCTCATATACTTTGAGAGTGGTGTTGTTCAATAATTACCTAAATATGCACTCTCTCCCGAGTAATACGTACTAAATAGGCACAACTAATTGAGGATCCTATCAATTAACTACAACAAGAACGTAATTGAACAAATAGAGATTAAATCGGGCAAATTATATTAACATAACACGAAGTTCATCCTTCAATAGGTTCCATCAAAACCCTAGACTAAATATTTAGCTACTCATAATCGTGTTCATCATAACAATAGCAAAATTCATCATAAATGGTAAAATACAAAAGGAAGAAAGGAAGAACTCGATGTTGAATTATCCTCCTTGCCTCTTGCCTCTCTTTGCCTAAACCTTGATAGTCTCCCTTTGGGCGAGCTGGACCTCTTATAGGTTAAGTGAAATTACCCCCGAACTTCCAAGTTTACCCCTGAATTATATTTTCCGAACTGGACTAGCGCGGTCGCGCTAGTGGGCGCGCTCATTATCGCGCATATGACATAGTATTCTGCCTCAAATTCCTAGGCTAGCGCGGTCGCGCTAGTGGGCGCGCTATCTGCACTAAGCTAGATCAACATTTCAGCTCTTCTTTTCTCTCGTCTTTCAACGTACTCAGTTCTGAGGGGCTTCCCTTACTTCAGTTTAGCTCCAAACACAGCTCTAAGTCCTCATAAGCGCAACTCGCTCCTGCAAAACATGAAATTCATAATTAGAGCCAATTTATCGTCGTTTAATTATCCTAGAACAGTAAAATATAGTCAAGCTGGGGCATAAGCAGTCATCACATTACATGAATCTAGCCTATTATCAGTGAATATCTTTTTTAAAGAGAAATTTATACCATTATGGTCATGGTCAAATTATATGAAAGATTTGTTTCTTGCATTACCGTTGTCTTTTAATAATCACATTGCCAAAATATTTTAGCGTACAATAGGTACAAGACAAATGACCATTCATACTATAATAATGACATTATTTTCTTATATTATTTCAAACCTCCTTCTAGAGGTGAGTGTGGTAGATTCACTACCACCGGCACATTCATATTCTTCCAAGAATAAATATGTATTCATAAATCACATGTTGTCACATTCACATCATGAATGGACCATAATCATCTATATGTGCTTTACAAAATACCATGTCAAATCGATGACAAACATTACTTTCACAGAGTGAAAGATTACTTTGAGAATCCTTATTATTCTCATTACCACGATGATGACGATTATAATTTCGTCTATTGCCACGTCAACATCTATTATTATCTTCACGGTAATAATTTTGTTTTCTTTCAAACTTATCACATATTGCTATCACATTCTCTTAAGGGCATGAGAATGGAGCAAATTCAATAGGACGGGTTTTCATTTCTTGTGCCCATAATCATACATGAATCTGATCATGGCAAGACATAGAAATTTTACAACTTTGGGTGGTTATAATTTCTTTCAAACTCCATTAGAGTTACAATCAAAATTTATCGTCTTTGCTTGTATTTAAAATCAAATTATAGAATGTCAAGAATTTAAAATAGAAAAATAAAGTAAAATACTTACCTTAAATCCAGAATTTAATCATAAAGGAAGTTCCTGGAACAATTGACAATCATTATGCCCAATCCTAAAGCTTCTACTCAATTGGTTAAAGTCTCGTGCTGATAATGTATTATGAAACAATAAAAGAAGAATAGCATTGCAAAGAAAAGTAGGGAGAGAGAATTCTTTATTGATTTGGGATCAATTACAATGGAATAGGACACCTCTATTTTATAGGGGAAAAATGACTTAGCCACCAAATAACAACCCTAAAATCTCTCTAAATATAGACATTCACCTTAAATACAATTCTATTTATAACATTCCTTTCCTTTTCTTTTGTTTTTTTGTTTATTAATCCAAATTTTTTATGTATAAGGGCATGATAAAGCCGAAAAGAAGTGTTTGATAAGTAGTTAAGCACCTACAGAACAGACTAGGAGGAGAACCAGATACAAACCAAGATTTTAACATGTAAGAAGTAAAACATGTGTAATTGTGGCTGCTGGGATTCGAGCCCAGGTCTCCACGGCCACAACGTGGAATTCTCACCACTAAACTACAGCCACTTTGTTTGGGAAAGCATTGGCCCTGTTACATATTTAACCGTTAATATTTGTTAATTTCACTTATTTTTTCCTCTAAGCTATGCGATTTAAATTGTTCAATCGTTGGATGCTACCGTTTTCTCTTCTAGTCCTTCAGACAATTCTATGCGTTGGCGAGTTCTTCAGTTTCAACATTTTTGGAAGAAGAAAATGTTTTAGTTCGTCTGAGCTAGATCGAATCAACGATTTAAATTAGCATCTTTCACCATTACTAAACTGTCCCCTTGTAAATTTTTTGTTGATTCACCACTTAGATTATTAGAAAGAGAGCTGACGAATGTGGAGAATGATTAGAAGTAATAACAATAAAAGTATCATCATAATATATAGAGAGAGATATAAGCAAACACACGTAGTTGTAAAATTACATAATGGAAATATTGTACAACGTGACACCCCACCATATATAGTACCCCATCTGCCTTCTCCCTAGAGGAAATAGAACTTACAGTCGAATACAAATTCAAATAGCCTGAAAGCTAATAACATAACGACTGGACGACTCAAAGCAAATGCAAATCAACAAAGAAAAGTACAAAAAAAAGTATGAAAATCAGCTTCTAATGAGAATGTGGTTAAGTAGACAAGTCCACTTAGTTCTTAGGGGGTGGTGGAGTGAAAAATGGGATAGAAGTAGGAAATTTTGGGAATGAAGGAAATGATGGAATTGGTGGCATTGCAACTCTTGGAATTGATGGCATTGGTGGCATTGATCCAACCCTAGGAATTGAAGGCATATTTGGAATACTTGGTATATTTGGAATAATATTAGGCATATTAGGGATACTTGGCATGCCTGGAATTGTAGGGAAACTTGGATTATTGGCCTGTAATAACTGACGACCAGCTTCAGATTTCCCACTCAATATTGCAAAGGAGAGAACAACCACCATGAAAATGCTAGTGTATATGCTTCTAGCCATAGTTTCTTCTTTCAAAAATAGTTGGAGCTGAAGTTGAGAAGACTCTGAGATTTTGTTTGCTGTTGATGAGAAACTATGTAGTGGATTGAGGTATTTATAGTGGAAATTTGGTTAAGCTAATGATTTGATTATAGAGTATTAATTAATTTGTTGGTTTTGGTTATGACTTTTGATTGATTGGTTTAGAAAAGCCTGAAGGCTGGGGGCAAATTGTTGTTGATGTTAGTTTACCATCACTTGGTGTTTTATTATATTGACCCAGTGCCCAGTTGTCAAGTTTATAAATCAAGACCAAAATTGAAGCAAACATGTGGCATTTTAAGATTCATGTTAGTCTAGCTTCTTGTTGGACATCTATGCGTGTATATTCAACTTTCTTGGTTTTAAGTTGAACTAAAATGGTTGTTAAACCACCTCATAACAGTACTTTGGCGAAGGGATCTTATCATTACTAAACAAAAGCAAAAAAAAATGTACAAATAAAAAGAATGCTGTAAACTATGTTATTTTTTTTCCTTTTATAAAAATAAAATAAAAAAAGAAACACATTGCATTCATAAAATCATCAGCTAATTGCTCTTAAGAATATAATTAGGAATAGGAGACGAGATGCCATCATTTTAATTATAGATAAGCACTTAAGACGAAAATACAACTTAAGATATTAGATAATCTGTTACATAAAGAAGAGAATGCTAATTTGAGGGCAAAACAGCTACAATATTGCTTAAGGTAGGAGGAGTTGGGGGTGGGCATAGTTTGGGCAATCCGAAATCCAAACCAAAATCCGAATTTTTTGGATTTTTGGTTTGGATTTCGGGTTACGGATTGGATTTTGGATTTAATTTTTAAAATTTTTGGGTTTCCGATTGGATAATGAACTTGGTACTTCAAATTTTTGGATATCCGAAAATTCAAAATTTTTATACTTTATATTTAGTCCATTATCCTTATGTCAGTAGTAATAAGTTCAACACCTTACCCATTAGATAATATCTCATATATTCAATATTAATTACTAAGTTACTATCATAATACTTTCTATTTGAATATGGTTTTACAATAGCTACTTCTTATCAGCCGTATAAATGTCTCTGTTGCATTTTCTTGATAATATTTTCATTACTTGAATACTTTGTTTGGATGATTGCGGTGAGAATGTGGAACTTTTCATGCAACTTAACATGAATAATTCATTTAGATATTCATTATTGTAAAAAAAAAAAAAAAAAAAAGAAGAAGAAACAAATCAACTTATAAACTCAAACCGAAAATCCATAATATCCAAACCGATTAATCCGAAATTGAACTTAAAAAATCCGAGCTTATTTGAATTGGATTTGAATTGTCATTTCTTCAATCCGAAAATCGAAAATCCAACTGAGGAGAATAAATGACAATACAATCCAAACGCCCACCCTTGAGGAGAAAACGTCTAAAGTTTGAAATTAGAGGAGAGAAATTGATTTTTAACACAAAGTTGCAGGAGGAAAAATGATTGTATTGGAAATCTGCTTTAAAAAGACAATTGGCCTTGATAAGCATTGGTTCTGTTTCCGACATCAGATAGCAGATTCATAACGTAAAGAAAGCAAGAAGTAGTCGCGATGTTACGCATTCTTACACAAGAACGGAGAATTTAACGAGATAGAATGTAGATCTATTATTATTAGTTGGTACACATTCAAATTCATTAGCAAAATAGAGATCCAAGCGCAATAAAAAGGATTACTCTCTCATAAATATAAGACTAAAAAAAGAAAGAATATTGAGTTGCCATAAGAAGCCATTGGATCAGCTTGCAAAATAGCTAGGATACAACTTGTATTGTGGTGAATAAGATGTAGAGATTTACTTAGATCTTATTAATGACCGTTGAATACTGCTAGGCCATCTGTAACATTCAACAATCTATCACGATCAATTTTATGGTAACTCATTAAATAAATTAAGATATCCAAACTCTTCTAGATACACATTATACACTTAACTTTGGTGTTGTAAAACAAAGTACACATCCAATGCAATGCAAAACAGTTAACAATACCTTTAAGAGCAGAATATATGAATAAGTTTCAGAAAGATACACCCTTCAAATTGCACCTACAGGCCTACACTAGCTGAGCTGCTAACCAGTTGCCACACATTTTCCATGTTTCCCTTTCCTGGGCAACTCGGACATGCTCTGGCGCAAGCTGAAAATGCACATTTCTGACAGGTAAAAGAACCATTCTCAAATCAGGGATAGCACTTATATCCAAAATTTCTCCAAAAGCCAGAATGTCATAATCTCAGACCATATTTTCATACCGTACGCTGAATCAGTTACAAATGCTTGCAATCAAAAGGAGATTTTACTGGCACTGAGAAAGCAATTTGAATCTTCTCCAGGATCTTGATCATAAACTGCCCCAAAATAACCACATAGCAAATTAACTGATTTAGAAGTTCATCAATGACATAAAACCAACAACCTTCTTTTTGGACATCATGAAAGCACTACTGAGAAAATTCAGCTCATCCAAAGGTTATCACATTTTGCGTCTTCTAATAATATTGCGTACTTTAATAATGCAATGCACCAACTTGCAAATGATTTGCACACCAAAGAATTGCAGCACCAAAACACTGAAACACAAGACAGAATGCATATATCATTTTACTTTTCCAAATGACGCATACTGGGAAAGGCTGGTGATAGAAGGTAAGAAAATTCCGCTGACTATATAAGGCACGAAAAAGTTTAAGCTAGAGGGCTCTACCTGCAGCCTGTTACTAGGTTTGGGTAATCACTTACCACGCAAGATATGCCCCTTTCTCAATATGCTTTTGGTTATTCCTATTTTGGTCCCTCATTGCCTTATTTTACATGCTAAACTTTTCACTAGGCAGAAATTATTGAGGTGTTTACTTAGAATTAGAAATTACTGCTGAGTAGATAAGAACTACGAAGAGAATGATTGTTCTTTTTCCCTTTCGATTAAGACAGGCATCAAAGAATGCAAAGCCAAGAATTTCCACTAACATTCTCCATAAAATACATGTTCTTCCATAAATGAAAAAAATAAGGGGAGATTGTGCGGATCACTTGCTTATCAACACTCATCCATGTTTATCTTGCTAGTTTCTGATGTTCTCCTGAGGAGGAAAAATGTTGTAACTAAAGAAATCATATAATGCACTAGGATTGCGCGTTCTAGATCCGATACAGAAATGAATCTTCGGCCTAACTCAACCCCAAAAGCTAGCTCAAAGGGTAAGGATTGTCCAAGACCATTTAAAGAGACCAAGGCCCCCATCCCACACTACCGATGGTCTCAACAGTCAACAAGATCAAATGTTCCCTTACCATGTTTATTTATTTTCTTATCAAACAAATAAACGTGGTAAGGAAACATTTAATATGACCCAATAAACCTCAACAACCTTTTTGCATGAAAGACTAGGAAATAGTTCGCAAATTGACCTCCTATGCGAATTGTCTCCTTGATGTTAGCCCTCATGCATATACAAAGGAAAGAACGTAGCATGTTCATCGAACACCAGAAACGGCAATTATTGGCATTACCTCGTCAATGAAGACTGTTATGGTTCTCATGGTCTCGCCCACCATCCCCTGTTGACTTCTCTGCAAGAAAGATATAAAAAGGTTTTAGTGAATGAGAATCTCCAGCCGACTCACCTAAAATGCACAAATGAAAAGCAGATACTCTAATTTATATTGTAATTAAGGTATTAAGCATTTTGACTCAAACTACTTTACTCCTAATACCTTGAAACATTTAGTCCACCACAATATATTTCCCCTGCTGCCATATATATATATAGAGAGAGAGAGAGAACTGGACGCATTTCCTAATATAAAAAAATGCACGAAAGAAAAGCCAATTTGATCAGTTTCTCCGTCATAAACAGAATCAGGACAAGATTTTGGGACATGTGGAGTAATTTCTACATCACAAGCAAAAGTTCCACTGTCTTTGCTGGTTATTAGCCAAAAATAAATTAGAATAGAGTTACCTATATATAATATACAACACTACAACAGATGTCTCAAACCGCACAAGAGACGACTACTACCCATAGGATGCACTTCTTGAACATCAGAAAACCACATCAATATACAATGTCATACATCCATGCCTACCAGAGATAGAAAAAGACCCACAGTATCACAGAGCGAATGTTAAAACCATTGTCAACCTAAACCACATCAATAACGCAACATCATGCATCCATGCGTAGCATAAACAAGATGCTAATGAAGAAGAAAAACCATTATTACTTCCCCCCAAGATCATCATAGTGAAATCCCCCAAGTTACGAACCCTCCAGACACACCACTTCTTCTATTTCACAATGCCCTCTGTTTATACGACACTCATTCCATTTTGCGATGTTTCAAAATGGTTTAATACCACTCCATTAATAATATTCTATATAACATCCAAGAATTCAAATTTAGTTCAATATTCGAATTTTTAACTCTCATTTAATTTTTTTTGTCAAAATAAGTTTTCAACCATTATTTTAGGTATTTTCTTCTTTTTACCATTGTATAAAATGCAAAGGAGGAAATATTTTTCCCACAGTTAGAGTGGGTAAGCTTCCTTTAAACCTTAACTATGTGTATGAGAAAAATTAACTCTCCCATGGAAAATTAAATTTCCACGACGAGTTCTAGAATTGTTGTTTCATAGAACTTTCATATACAATGACTTGGAAATAATAAAAAGTTCATGTACTTTACCAGTTTACAAAGATAAATCGTGTACATAGAACTATTTTTGAAAAATTACACAAGTAAAGCATTCATATAGGAGGGCAAAGTATCAATCAAGATAAAGAATAAAACCTGCGTACATCCTATTTGAGTTGTCATGAAAAAGCTTGACACAATATGTATATTGAAAAATAATTGTACCATGTATCAAGCCAGCAGATAATGTGTGATCGATATTATCAAGACGCCTTTGTATAGACTTCAAAAGTGAATTCAATGATGTAATTCTTTTCCTAACACCAGAAATTCTAGCAGCATGCTGCATAATAAAAGGCAATGGGGCATCTTCCAGCAGTTTGTCAAGCTCTGCAGATATAGATGATTGGTTACACATACATTAACAGAAGTTACAAGCAGGACCATGAAATAACAAGAAAAGCAATTCAAAGAAACAGAATCTTCGATTAAAACGCCACATTTACCAACCTGAATCCCTATTCTTAATAGACCTTTTATGTTTCAAATATTATATTGTACGATGATTTCCTACATCTATAAGCTTGTGATAGTTAGTGAATCCACGTTCCATTAAATTAGTATGGATGAAATTTCCATGGTATGGGATTGAACTTCTATTCTGTCTGATTACTGTTTCCCTTTACTTTTCTCAGAACTTCTCTATTGTATGGCTCTTAGCGACATCACCCTCCTATAGAGAGATCATTTCGTATCTAACGGTTCAAAAAGGAGATCATTTAGGATTGAAATTCATTTTAATATCTTCACTAGATCTATATTCATTTTAATATTTCCCGTGGTGTCAAACCTTTCATCAGCAAAAAATGGTTAACAGCACTGGATCTGTCCAAGAAATAGTAACACTGGAAGTGAACTATCAGATAGACATAAGTCCTCTCAAGTAAAACTCCTAAGTTACAATGACGAGGTGGCTGAAAGTGCAAGAAGAACTGTCACAGGAAATATATCAACTGTGTCAAGCGATCATGTCCTTGCAACTGGATTTACGCGTTGGTTAAGTAAACATCCTGTAGTAAGAGAAGTAGTTATGGACTATCCCTATGGGGGTGGGTGAGGAGAGACCCATTTGGGAGAAAAATAAACTTTTTGATTGACTTAAACTACCCTTCTTAGAATTAGAACCCATTGAGTGGGTTTCAGCACTCAGCCCAGCAAGGGAAAGTGGTCAAATGGTCAAAAGCAGCCGACTGTAAATTCTTGTAGCACTTATCTTATGCTACAGCCTTTTAGTTAACATAACAAAAAGCTAGGAACATTAAACTCTGTACCACCCTCTAAACCTTGTCACCTCAGATTTTGTTGCAAGCGGAACTGCAGTGCAGTTATCCTCATATAGAAGATGACCTAGCACATTCAAACAAACAAGACTAGCCAGCACACAGAGAAAGGTTTTCCAAGAAACTGTCTCAGATATCTACTCGAACAAAAGTTGATGCTATTTTCTTCTTCTGGAATGATAAGTAACAATCCATGAAATAGTAGAATCATCCAAGACCTAGACATTATCAATGCAGTTGATGTGGACAAACGGAAAGAAGAGTCTATCATCATATCACTGGCAATTGACATGTAGAAGGAAAACTTGAAGAAATACAGTTTTCTATTATTGCAATTGCATGAGGCTACCAATAATCACAGGTGCAAAGGAGAAAAACAGCATGTCTTCTTTTCCTAGAGAACATGAAAGTCTCATTGTACATAGTAAATGAAGAGGAGATAGACGAAAGAGCTAAAAGAAATTTGAGAAAATTTTCATGTATACAAAAATTGGGGTAAGATCCACCGAAGTGGGTAGCCTTAACCGGATGTGTGCAATAACAGGTAAAACCGAAGGCTGTTCCCGACCATCTCTAATTTCTACGAACACGGAAAGAGCTAAAGAAATTTCAAGCTTTCTCAAACTCTTTTTTTGGGGCACACACGGAAATATAGTCCACTAAGTTATTGATTGTTCACAATGTATGGAATAAAGAGGAACCTTTTTCTTAAGCAACTATCTGATGAAATTTCAGGAAATCTGAATCTACGGAAAGTCGAAAACAATGTGTGTTTTCCTATTGCTCTTTTTTTATGTGTCTTTTCCTATTGCTCTTTTTAAATTTTTTTGAACCTTTAAGGTTTAATGAGAACTTACAATATCATAATGCAATAGCGAAAGAGTTCACTTAACTGATGAAAGCAATTTGGATCTACATGTCACAATAAAGAAGTGCATGTTTTTANAAGCAGAGGTTTTTGGGTGAGCCTGCATGTCATGTTGCAGTTGGATTTGTCACTCTTTATTCCACGATCACTAAGCGACCTAGTTCGGACACCCACCTTAGTGAAAATAATTTGGAGTCTTTCAAAGATGTACCATAATAAGAGTGCAGTTTTTGACTGCAAAGCTTCCTACTTTATATTCAATAACAAGTGCGAACAAGAAGGAGTTCGCTCAGCCTAATAAACAGTAAATGGATCCCCAACTCCAGTTCTTACCACACAAAAAGGCACACTAATACCCCATAAAGAATAAATGTCAAAATTAAGTCCAGCGGTTATATTTAGAAGAAGGTGAAGAATGGTACCTCCAGTGAGACGATCGAGAGTGGAAGAGAGCTGATCTTGACTACGAGAAGTGGCGGCAGCGCTGTCATCAAATTCCCGGATTATAGAAGAAATTATAGTAGAAAGCCCCTTCGCTAAGGCAGAATTTGATGCGTCGCTGTTGTCGTCATCGCCATCGACGGCGACACTGGTCGGGTCATGCTCCGCCGTGTCGCACGGTTGTTTCTCAGGGACTTCGTTCGACATTGATTGAATTGTTAAGCGAGGGTCTTTTCTGGTAGTCGTCAGCAGGAATGGTCATCTTTTATAAATATTCTTACTCCCCGTATTGGATATACTACTACTTTTCCCCTTTCTTTTATTTTGCTTGACATTTCCGATTTTTGTTTTAAGTTTTGTACCTTTTGTTCCCAAGTCTTAACCAGTGCTACTAGTGTATGGGCTAAAATTACCATAATTAATGACTTGGCTTCCAAAGATCGATGTCATGAGAAAACAACATATCATCGACAAGGTCGAGGTGGCTACGAGGACGAGCATTCCATTTATTAAAAGCACTAATGCCTAGTTTTGTGATTATGGTTCTCCAAAGAATATTTTAGTGAATATTCCACCCAGCTGTACTGTTTAGGATTTTGTGGTCCATGTGCTCTTATAAATAGAAATATATGCAGTTATAGAGAGGATTTTTGGGACATTCATTGTAAAGAAAGAAGGCATTGACATTCTCTAAAGATTCTTCATTTATCATATAGATACAAAGCTCACATTTTTCTCACATCTTTATCTGCCCTTTCTCTCACGATCCAAGGAGGATCCGAATATTCAAAGGCTTATTATTATCTATCTTTGTCAGAAGAATTATTGGGGAATCTCACCCTTTTTGGATGACCTCCCCCATTTATTTACTTAAATGTCATTTATTGCTATTTATTGTTATCTTCCATATTCTTGAATCATTGATCATATCATTGTTGTTGTCGTTTATTACTACTCAATAGCACGCGTGGGATCTTAGTACGAAAATATTTGGACTATCTTTTGGATATTAATATTGGCTAAGATTAACCCTAATTTATTATAAAATCTGATTGTATAAACCTAGATCTAAATTTTAGGTCATACAGTTTGCGATGTATGTGGGGATCTTCTCAGCCAATCTTTTAGTTTATATCTAGACCTGTAACTTGCATGACTTGCTAATCTAACAATCCACAAAGTTTATCTTTTTTTCTATACGTACAAAAATCTCCATGACAGGTGACCAAGGAAAAGGAATGAAGTCAACAGATAATGTTCCCCTCAACCTCATGGGTATCATCAATGAAGGCTATGACACCTAGGATGAGGAGGTGATGCCCACATCTTCTCCCAAACAGGAAAGGTCGCTCGCAACCTTTTGCAGCACAATAATACCAAACGGGAAAGGGGCCTCCACATCTACATGAGAGGGGACGTCACCCGCTATGAAAAAGCTCCATGAAGTATAGCTAACTGATACTCTGGTCAGTGTGCTTAGTAAACAAGCCTCATGCATGACCACATAAACCACAAGAGTCTATGCAGCATGAGGCATGAACGAACAAGACGACTAATCAGACCCTCCAACTTCAGGTAAAACTCACACTATTACTAACAGTGCAGACGACAGCATCCTCGCCATCGTGCTAAAAAGAATGGAAGAGATGGAAAATGAGAACGGGGCATTCAGGGATCAAATGAAAGAGCACCAAGAACAGGTAGATAAAATACCAGGCGCTCCCAAATTATTACCAAAAAGAGATGCCTGATAGGTTTGTGGAACAGCCGTACAGAGAAGAAGCGGCTCCACACGCCATACCAAAGACCTTCAAGATGCCCCCATATCTCAGAATCTACGATGGGACGATCAATCCTGAAGATCATGTAACCTACTACATCACCGCCATGAAAGGCAACAACCTTACCAAAGAGCAAGTATCCTCTATCTTGCTGAAAAAGTTCGGTGAGACTCTCACTTGAGGGGCATTGATATGGTACTCACAACTACCACATTATTCAATAGAAATGTTCGAATATATGACCGATAAGTTCGTAACGATGCATATCGAGGCCAAGAAGCTAAGACAGGGGTGAAAGATATCTTTACCGTCAAACAATCCCAGTAGAGGGATTGATGGACTTCCTTACCTGATTCAACAAGGTGAGGATGACCTTGTAAATGTCTCCAAAGGAATGGTCATGGCAGCCTTTCAGAATAGGTTGAGTAGAGAGGGTTCGAGGGCAACCAGAAATCTACTGAGTCGCTTAATGAAGCACCCACTGGCCACTTGAGACGAAATCGATAATTCTTACTGTGTTGAGGTCAGAGCAGACGACAACGAACTCAATGGACCAACTCAGCGACTCACTTCGGTACCATTCGAGCTCAGGAAAGAATGCATAGATAATACAAGGAGAGACCATCTAGTATCTCGGTCAGTCAGGGAGTGACACCAGCTTCCCTCTTTTTAATATGAAGACGTCGTCTAGGCCGAGTTTAATATGAGGTCGAAGCCAAAGAAGTCATCACGGACCCGGAGATAGTCGAAGCCGCAGACTCAACTATAGAAAACCCTGACCTCGTCCAGCTAGATCATAGCGACCTCAGCAAAAAGACCTATATCGACTGCAAACTCCGAGACCCAGGTAAATTTAGTCAATTCTTAGTAACAAATGCATATCTATTTGCCTTTAGTCATATAGATATGTCAGGAATCCCCAAGAAAATCGCCACACACATGTTGAATGTCGATCCCTTCTACCCCACAGTAAGACAAGTCCGATGAAAATTCTACCCCACAATCAATGAGGCCGTCCACGAAGAGGTAGAAAAGCTATTGGCCAACAGCTCTATCAAGGAGTCAAATTACCCCAAATAGATTGCCAGCATGGTGATGGTTAAAAAGAAAAACGAGATATAGAGGATGTGTGTGGACTTCACAAACATGAACAAAGCATGCCGAGAGGATTCATTCCACACATCGACCAACCCATTGATGCAACAGCAGGACATGAGTTGTTAAGTTTTATGGACCTACTGATCTCGTCCAAGTCACACCTCTATTCGAGGTTGTGAAACGGTCGATGCAATAGTAATACCCAATAGAGTCGGGGTCGAATTTCACAGGGAGCTATGAGATTGGGATTTAGGAGTATATATTACGGTATATGAATTTGAACTATCTTTGAGTACACTTCCACATATTTGATTGGTGCTATAGCTAAATTAAACTAAGATTGAAAATAATTAATTGAAACTAAGAAATTGTATTTTTGTTGTTGTTTTCAAATATTGTAAAAGGCCTGGGGCTATGACCTTCACCTAGGTGTTTGCCTAACGAGTTGTAAATCTTAAAGCTTGTTTTGTTGGTTGAGGTGTATTATAGCTATCAACACTCAATTACCCACTCAATACCTCTCGGTAAGAGAGTAATTTTGCCCAATTTGGCTTTCTCAAGTCCAAATAGGTATTGAACAAAATAGTTGATAAAATGCGCAAGTCAGGTTTTACTATCTCTAGGTTTAACCCTTTAATTGGGACTATCAATCTCTTGATTTCTTCCCAAATTCTTGTTAGCCAAGTTTTCCTAGACTAAGTCTCTCTTTCTCAAGTATAGACCAAGTTAAATAGGCATGAACTAATATTTGAAACCATTAATTCTACAATAAAAAGCAAGAACAAGGCTAAATAATCAACATCCAACCATAAACAAGCTATAAATTAAAAGTCCATTAGATTGATACACTAGGGTTGGGTCACAACCCTAGCAAGAAATTTAGCTACTCATGCTTAGAATAAAAGAAACAGAAGAAGAAAAGATAATTAAACTCATATTGAAAGATTAAAAGACAAAAATCCAATGCTAAATCACTAAAGTAAGCTAAAATTGCCTAAAGCAGTAAAGAAAAATGGCTACAGGAGTTTAGATATTCAAAATTTGACCTAATTTTTTGAAAGAAGTCTATTTATACACAGCTAAAATTTTCGGACAAAATTGCCCTTTCGAAGTTTCTACGGCCGCACAATTCCATGTGCGGTCCGCAGTTCGCTTGAATCTTGATAGGAGTTGGAGTATGTGGCTGCATGTATCTTGTTCTGTGGTCTGCAAAAAACTAAGTGCGGCCACATAGGGTCCTTCTGCGAACTGCACAACTCTGAGTGTCGCCGCATGACTGACTTTTACGGCCGCACAATAATTGTGTGGTCCGCATCTTGAGATGATACTTCTCTAAACTTGAACTCTTGGGTAGCTTCTGTGGCCACACATTTCATGTGCGATCCACACTTTACATTGATCCTCTTACAGACTTCCTTCACATTCTGCAGCCGCAGAAGGAATTTTGTGGTCTGCACATTATGTTTTTGCCTGCTTTTTGTCCTTGAGTTCACATTACTCCTTCTTGAGTCGGATTTCATCTATGTGGCTCATTTTCCAATGCTCCTACAATTAAGCATATTTTATCAGTTTTTGGGAATACAATTAAACACTTTTGGACTAAGACGAAAGTAAAAAGGCGCTAATAAGTAGTCAAAATCCCCACTTATCACCTGCTCAGGTTGCAAATAAATACTCATAGAGGAAGAAGACCAATAAAAGACTACGTTTATCACCCATAAGGGAATGTATTATTATAAGGTCATGTCATTCGGGTTGAAGAACGTAGGGGCTACCTATCAAAGGTTGGTCACAAAAATGTTCAAAGATCAACTCAGCAAAATTATGCAGGTATATATCGACGACATGTTGGACAAGTCCGTGAAGGCAGAGGATCACATCGACTACCTAAATGAAGCCTTCGATATACTAAGAAAATGCAGAATGAAACTAAACCCTAAGAAATGACATAGTCTCAAGGAAACTTTTAGGCTTCTTGGTATCACAGCGAGGGATTGAGGTCAACCCAAATCAAATTAAGGCTATCGATGAGATACCAGAACAACTAACCACTAAGAAGCAAGTCCAGAGACTGACCAGTCGAATTGTCTCCCTGTCTAGATTCATCGCGCGATCGTCCAACATGTGTCACAGGCTTTTTAGCATACTCAAAAAGGATAACGGCCTCGAATGGACGCCCAAGTGTGTGTAAGTGTTGCAAAAACTAAAGGAATACATGTCGTCACCACCTTTGCTCTCAAAACCCGAACCTGGGGAGTGCCTCCTTATTTATCTCGTCGTTTCAGAAGTAGCGGTAAGTGCGGTCCTGATTTGGGAAGAGAAAAGTATGTAATCTCCAATTTATTGTATCAGTAAGACACTTGTCGACGCCGAGACGAGGTGCCCTCACCTTGAGAAACTAGCCAT